TAGCGGGGGACGCCAGAGGCTGTCTGCGGGCGTGCCGACGCGCCAAGACACCGCCTCCCCGACACCTTGCCCTGCGGTCGGTCTCCCTTGGAGGTGTGCGTGGTGGCACCGGGGTTTCTAACTGCTCCGCCCTGCGTCCCTGTGAAAGGGACCTTCAGGGGGTCCTGCGATGACACTTCCCGTCTGGTTAAGGAGAACGCGCCCGAGGCATGTCGCCGCTCCGCGAAGGGCGTTCTCTCTTACTTGGCTGCAGAGGGCAGAGGTCTGGTGGCATCGGAGCGTGTCCCGTGTCCCCAGGGTCCCACCCCTCGAGCAGCCTGGGGTCCTCGGCGGCTCCTTCCTGGGCCTCCCCACCCTTGAGTCCCGTTGGGCATTTTCCCTCTGCAGTTTTCACGCCCCCGTCAGAACCCCTCACTGCATGCTCCGTCTCTGCCCGGCCCGCCAGCCAGCCCCCCATCGCCAGAGGTCTGCTCCTCAGGGGTGGCCCGTGTCCCCCAGGCAGGCCTGCTCGCCGCGCCCCCGCCCCCGCCTGCCTGTTCCCCATCACACTCGCGCCTTTTTAATTCTACTGAATTTGCTTTCCTGGCATCGGACCCCCATGGGCAACCAGGGGGTCTGCGCTCATTACTCCCCTAACCAGACCCCGCTCGCTCGGGCTCCCGGAGCCCAGCGCCTCTTAGATTCGGCTGCTCCTGCCCTGTTTCCAGGGCCAGGCGAGAAGCAGGAGGAGCCCCGCTCCCCTGTCCCAGCGTCCCCTCCCTGGCCACTGTGTGCTGGACACCAATCGGGGCGGTTCCTGTGTGTCTGGGTTTGTAACCTTCTAGCTGGCGGGGGACCTCGAGCGTCCCCAAAGGCCAGTATCACAGGACCCCTTGTCTTCAGCGCTGATCCATCCGCTCTGCCCATCCCTGGGGGCAGGGTCACGCCACCCTCTCTGCAGCGTCCAGGAGTGTCACTCCTGTTTCCGTGCAGGTGACAAGGAGGGCATGTCCGCAGGTGTAGGGGCTGCCCTCCTCCCTGAGTGTGGGCGGTGGGAGTTAAGGAGCGAAGGCCAAAGCCGTCAGCCTGGCTCACGTCGCGCGCAGAGCCGAGCGCACGCACCAGCCGGCCGCTCATGCGAATCACAAAACCAGGGTAATGACGACCACGTGGCCAGCTTTTGTTTCTCTGATGTTAAAAGGAAAGGGAGCCACGAGCCCCTGGGTCAGACGGGAACGGGCCTGACTTGGTCTCTGACACCGAGAGCAAGGTCGGGGCGGGAGTGAGGGTGTCAGGACAGTGACGGCGGTGACGGCTGAGAAAGGCTCAGGCTGCCACTTCTGCTCCGAAGAAGCCGGTCTGGTTCCCCGAACAGGACACGTGGCTGGGAAAAGGGGCAGTGGCCATGGCCAAGTGTGAGCAGGCTGGCTGGGACAGGGAGGGAGAACCTTCCAGAAAGGAAGGGGCTTGCAGGAAGAAGGAGACTTACTGCGCGGAGCAGCCCAAGGCTCCTCCACGGCTGTCCCAGCTCAGCGGCCATCCGCTGCCAAACAGCCCGCCACAAACTCACTCCCGCCTCTGAGGTCCTCAAACTGATACGGCTCCTCCCAGGGCCCCGTAGCAAGCGGACTCCTGGCCGCCAGTCCTGGCCGCCTCTCCAGGGGGACCGTAAGCTCACTGAGGGAGCGGCCTGCACCCCTGTGTGTTCCCAGGCGCCCAGCACAGAGCCTCGGCCAGATGGTGGTGGGGGGGACCACGGTTCTCCTGCAGAAGCCTGTCACCCCAGGACAGGGGACAAGCGGGAATGTCAGACCTGGGGCACGGAGATCGGTTACGCCTGGCAGAAGCAGAGGTCAGGGAGGGGACGGACGGGAGCGGACGTGGCACTGAGCGTGGCCTGGCTTCCGGGGGAGAGCATACATTCCCTTTCTCTCTCTGTTGCTGACGAGCATCTTATTAGGATGTGGCCAGGGACAAGCGAGGAACCAGAGCCTCTGCTAGAGTGGACAGCCTGCGGTCCCTCTAGCCGATAGCTGCAGAGGGCCACGGCTGCACCTGCTGGGCGCCCACCGTGGCATCTCGAGACCCCCGGCCACTCTGAGCCCCAGTGAGCTCAGGCCGCTTCTCCAGCTGGGGCAGGGCCTTCGGGAGATGTGCTCTGTGACCTGAGAAGCCCCACTGCTGGCCGGCAGACATGCGTCCTCTCGTTGTCAAGTCATCGGCGCCACTCAGGGTCCCCTGTGTCACAGCCGGCAAGGCCCTCAGGCTCCATGGAGCTCAGCCGCGGCATTGCGTAGGTAGCTGCTAAGGCCCAGAGAGGGTCAGCCCAGACACAAGGTCACCCAGCCGGTCACCAGCTGGGATCAGGCCTCCCTACTCCTTCTTGTCATCGCTGCAGTTGTGGGGCCCCTGAGTCTTGCTGGGGGCTGGGGGAGGTGGGGTCCCCTCTGGGGGCTGCTCGAGGCTGAGCTGACAGCAATGGCCGGAAGCCCCCAGTCCCCCTTGCAGCCTCTCCCGTTGGGGGTTTTCCAGCGCTTTGCCTCAGGGCCTCCCCGCCTCCTCCTGCATCCCCTTCTTGAGCCCCCACAAGCCATCCCGTCGTCCCCTTCGCTCCCTGCCCACTCCCCCGAGGAGAACAGACCCCCTTCTGGCCAGACTTCCCAGCAGACTCGGCGCGGCTCGTTCGGAAACGATCCGTGCATCTAACGAGCGTCCTTTCTGCCCTTGTCCTCAAACGCTTAATGAGTGTTTTCCGTGCTCCAGCGAAGCAGGGGGTGGTCCCCGTGTGGCTGCCTCCCGTGCGGGCTGTTCGAAGGCTGAGACCAGCTCACTGGGCGGAGGCGGCAGGGGCTCCTTCCCGGCCCCCCCGGCAGCATGTGCAGAGGCCTGCAGGCCCGGCAGCGCCCCTGGGCGGGGGCCCCTGTGTGGCTGGAGAATGGCTGGCGTTTGGGTTCTGGGAGGAGCTGGGCTCTAGCTCAGTCCTTGTGGGGTGTCGCACAGTCACTCAGTCAGTGGAGGCGCCCATTGCTGCTCCATCTCCCCGAGTGCCACTGTCACCCCTTCTTCCATGGAGGGGTTAGAGACAGACGGCCTTGAGCACCTGGTCCCCAGAGAGAGGGCAGCTGCTGGCCCTTTGCCTCCATGCTGTCTGCTTCCTGCCCCTCCCCCCAGCAGTGTGTGCAAGGGCGCAGTCTCCGCGGAGCACCACGGCATACAGGCGGCCCAGGGGCGTGAAGGACGATGTGCGTGCATGCGTGCGTGTGGCTCCAGGCTCCCCCAGCCCCCGCGGGGTCCCTATGCCTGGGAGTGCAGGGGCCTCAGCCACAGGACTCACTGCCTGCTAGGGAGGGAGTGAGACCCTCGTTCCCGCGGACACAGAGCCGCAGATGCAGCAGGACTGCCCCGGGGGGACCGCAGAGGGGACTCCTTTCTGCCCACTGGGGCCTCCTTGCCTCTGAGCAAGCCTTTTAGGTCCCTAGGGGCAGAGTTCCAAGCAAGGCCAGTGGGCAGGGGAGGGATCAGGCTGTGGGTTGACTGGCCTGTGTGCCCAGCCCGTGCACTGTCACCCACATTGGGCCTGGGCTGTGTCCCAACACCACTGAAGAGGGGAAATGACTATATATTTCTCTCCACTGACTCAAGATCTGTCTGTGGAAGGTGACGGTCCCTCTGGCTCCCCAAGAAGGGTCCTCAGAGCCCTTTGCCTCCCTGAAGCGGCCCACTGGCGCACGGCCGGGGTGGCCGGAGGCACCCGTGGAGTCCTAGAAACCAGCCCGTCACCCACGTGTCCCCGCAGGCCGTTCTCGGGGGCGGCCGCCTGGAGCACCCTCTGGCCCTCGGCTTGAGTTGGCATTCTTTTTAACGCCTTGAAGCAGTGGGGTTGGCGGCACCCAGGGGAGCACCCGTTATGTCCGTCTGACTCTGGG